TTTAATTTAGGAGTTAATCCGAGACCTACAACATCGTATTACACAACTGGAACGTGCTACCAATCAACTCATCAACACCATTCGCAAGTCGGATCGAGAACAGCACAATCAACACGACAGCATGCAGGAACGCCATTACAAACCTTGCCGAAATACCGTACCAACAACGTCCAAGACATCCAGTTCATGCGCATTCTGCAATGGAAACCACTGGGCCTCCGGATGCCCTACCTATCCTACACTTTCTGAAAGACGCCAGCAATGCGGCAAAAGGAACAAATGTGAACGTTGTCTCAAAACTGCGAACCACCTCGCTACGTCCTGTACAGTGAACATTCAGTGCTTCTACTGCAGAAGGAACGGTAGAGAGCAACTTATCAAACTCCATAACTCTGCATTTTGTCCTTATCAATTTCCGATGTGACCCACTCACAGTAACAATCGTAATTGCTCTGTGAATCATTATTCAGCTTAATAAAGACATTGAAATCGATCGTGTTTTTTGATAATACCGCACATAATATATGGATACTGATTTCGATCAACTCCGAAATTTGACAGCACCAAATCACTCGGACTATACCTCAAATCAATAACTAATCAATCAAAAAAACCAAACAACCTATCAAAAAAAGCCACGACCCCCAATCAGAATATACAAGGGGATTCTCCTCACCAGTAATCATTCAGTTCGTTTGCACCGTCCGGTACTCACTTCGAAACTCCAATGCCAACACCTTTCAACATCACAACCACAAAACAAAAATTAACCAGACAACTCAACGCCTTAGAAGACTTCATCAATGAAGCAAACCAATTCAGTCCCACATGGGTATTTCCCACAGAGAGATTAGAACTCACAATCTTTCTCACAACAAACAAATTCAAAGTAACAACTTTGAAGAAACAAGTCGAGGACCAAATAGATAAAGTATGGAACCTCTATGAATCTAGCATTCAAGCTATCACAACATCAAAGGAAGACAACTCAGTAAAGCAAGCCTTCAGTACTTATTGGGAAGAGAAGCAAGGGGAAAAACATTAACCATCGCGACAGCACTAGCCCATCAACTCCAGAAACGCATAACAGAGCTGGAATGTCAAGAACTAGCAATCGCTCACTCACATAATAATCTTCCAAATCAATTCAACAATACCCCTCCACAAGCTTATGCCATCTTAACTACTTCGACAATTGACCAAAAACTGTTGAAAAATGAAATAAAGGTACCCGAGTTTCATGGCAACCCAGCAGAGTTTGGTCCATTTTGGGAATTATTTGAGGAACTTGTCCACAAACAACCCTATTCGAACATAGCTAAACTTTCAATATTGCTCAACTGCTGCAAAGGTGATGCAGCGAGATCCCTATAAATGATCCCCCGTACAGGAAGTTCCTACGAAAAAGCTATTCAACAACTCAAACAGCAATAC